ATTTGTAATTATATCTTAAAATAATAATACAATTACAATTAGGAAAATGCCTGATTAACAATATGGACTGTGGGAGCCAAGAAAAGAATCAGCTTCTTTTGGTGAGTGGACTTAATAGAATGAGCTATATGCCTAATAAGCATCACAGCTATCATCGTCTTTCCAGCACCAGTATCCAGCACTGCTATAGTATTCCTTCTCTTGGCAACTTCAAACACCTCAACTTGATACCTTTGAGGAACACACAAAACCACAACCCAAAAGACACATACAAAGGTTAATTTTCCAGTCAATATCATCACATAGGCAAGATAAAATCTTCAAGAGAAATGAACGGGAGCCAAATTAATTACGTACCTTCTAGGATTGAAATCTTTAGCATTAGAAGAAGGTTTAGAGTTTTGATCCACGTCAGGATTTGTAAAGATTGTGTTGTTGGGAGACATCTGAAGAACTTGCTTTTGGGAATTCACTTTGTACTGTGCAACGAATGTGACTAATTCTGTTTCATGTCAACGACTTGTTTAGCTCAAACCAATGTAAAGGGCTTTCAGTCTGTGTTTAACTACATCCGAATCATAATAAGAATGTGATGAGGCTGAGTTTCTAAATAAAGGATTTATAATAACATAGCAAGAGCAATAAATTAGAATAAAATCAAGGTTTAAGTTGAAAAATATAGATCAAGACTGGGGAAACTAAAGTTGAATTTTGCTGTGTTAAAAGTTGGGCACATGCAAGTTTCATTCTCACTGGCAAGATGGCTGAAAAACACATAGCATGAAGATGGTGTGTTTTCTTTCTAAAAGCCATGCAGAAACCAAAGGGAAAAGTGGAAATGACGGTTAGGGACCTTTTTTTTAAATAAAATAACGACAGTTAAGACGTTTAGAGGCTAAAATTTGAAAATGGCAGGACCAAAGTCCCTGAAAGGAAATTTTATAACCCAAAATGACCCTACTAAATTGTAGAATTATGGGTTAAAAATGTGTTTCAGCTCTCATAATTTCATAATTTTTGGGAACCCAAAAGCCTTATATCACTTTCGTACTAGTTTAGAATTTAGAAAATGATTAATAAAAAGAGAAAATTGCACGTAAATAGTTTAATTCTAGAGAGTGTGAAATCTGAAAAATATATGAAGTCTTTCAAAGTATCGATACTTTGCGTATGAAAACATATAACGTTGAAGTCAGACATTATTGGGCAATTTAGGGCCTGTTTGTTTACCTGTTTTCAAAACAGTTTTTTGTTTTTAAAAATAAAAAAATAAAAAATCTTGTTTGGCAAGTTATTCTCAGTCTACTATTTTTAAAAACAAAAAAATAAAAATTTATTTTGAAAAACTAAAAACAGAAAACAACTTTTAGATGTTTTTTAATTTTTGGTTCTGAGCTTCCTAATTTCTTGTTTCAAAAAATCGGGCATGACCTTTTTTCTCGATCGAACACTTCTCTTTGCTCGACGGCTTGAAGATTCATTCTTCAGTGTTCATGGCCCATTAGCTAGTCTCAGTGCTCGCCATCTCCTCACTTCATTGATGTCTCCAGTGCGCTCGGTTCCTTACTCCCCTCTCCCTCATTGCTGCTTCCTCACTCCCCCAACATTTCTACTCCCCAGTCTCTCCTTCCTCCCTTTTCAATCCTCAATCGGTGAGTCCTCAATCTATACCCTCTCTCCCTAACTGATTAATTTAGTCGATTTTTCAACTGAATTTAATTTGTACCATTTAGTGGGTTTTCGTGTATACGATTTAGTGGGCAACGGCAGCGGCTTTGGTGGTTCCATTTGATAGAGCTACGAAGTTATACAAACAAGAGAGCTTGTCTTTGGTTTGAGTTCAATTCAAGTGTGGTAGCATGCTTCTTCCGCAACGTTGAAAACTTCCTTTAACATTGCTCTCCTCTATCTTGCTGCTTTTATCAATGATAGTTTGATGTGCCTTGTTGTTTTATCTAACTAGTATATTATTCATTTCGTTGAAATGTTGTACTCAGTGACTCAACTTGAAGGTCAGTTTTTATTACTTGCTCAGATGGGTCTTGGACATGAAGGAGCTCATCTTCATGGGAGAGAGTTTTGAAATTGGGTCTTGAAAATGATGGATTTATTCGTAGTTGACTGGTACATATGTATGCGAATTGTGGGCTCTTGAGTGAAGCGAGGAGAGTGTTTGATGGTCTCTTTGAATTTGATGTTATAATTTGGAACTCATTGATCATAGGTCTTTCTACATGCAGGGAAATTGAAGAGGCAAAGAACCTGTTTGATGAAATGCTTACAAGAGCTTCTGTCACATGGAATTCTATGACTAGCGGGTTTGTAAGAAACAGGAAACTAATGGAGGCATTATTAGAGCTTTTTCACAGGATGCATGAAGAAGCGGTTGAGCCTAGTGAGTTTATAATGATAAGCTTGTTGAATGCTTGTGCTCATGGGCTTACTTCAACAAGGGAAATGGATTCATGATTGTATAAGAATGATTTTGAGTTTAACGTTATTGTTGTGACAGCAATAGTTGATATATATTGCTAATGTGGATCTATTGAAAATGCTCTCTCCAGGTGTTTGAGGAGTGTCCTAGGAAAGGATTATCATGTTGGCAGGAACTCCATTATTATAGGGCTAGCCATGAATGGTCTTGAAAGAGGAGCAGTTGAGTTCTTCTCTGAACTTGAATCTTCTTCAAGTTTATTGCCAGATTACGTAAGTTTCATTGGTGTGTTTGATAACTTGTAAACATCTAGGCAAAGTTGATAAAGCTAGGGACTATTTAATAATGGATAAATATGAGATCAAACCATCATTTAAACATTATGCTTGCATGATTGAAGTGCAATTGGAAGAGGCAGAAGAATATCTGTTTTATGATTTTTTTTTACATTAATATTGCAGATTATCTTGCACATTCTATAGTGACAATTGTAATCAATATAGATGATCAAGCTTATAATGAATATTTCAGATTTATCTTGCACATTCTACTCGACTATTTATGATTCCTGTTCTGCCTCCTTTGAATTATGAATAATGCATGTAATCATGTATGATGCATTATATGATGTCATTGTTATGTTTCTTGCACGATCTATTTCTGATTTGAAGTTATAAAGGCTCAGATCATGTTAAGAAAAAAAAACAGTACATTCAATATATGATTTTAAAAACAAGTATTCCAAATAACTTTTTATATTTTTTGTTTTTAAATATAATTTTTTAAAATAAACATCCAAACAGATTCTTTTGTTTTTTTTTTTCAAAACTTGTTCCAGAAAACAGTTTTATAAAATTGTTTTTGAAACAAAAAACAACAAAACAAAACCAAACAGGCCCTTATTCTCCAAACAGGTATATATGAATAATTTTTCTAATCAAAATGTATAATTTCTATAAATAACAGCACATGTTTTTTTTTCCTTCATATATTGCATGTGAAAATTAGGTAAAAATATACATTTTATCTTTTAACTGTAAAGTCTTGTTTGTTTGTTTTATTCTTAGGCCTAAGAGATGGTTTCATTTTGATCCTGTAGTCATACTAAAAAAGCCCCATTATTGGTTTTACCATGTATTAATTAATTAATTTAATAATTGCAATATATATATTTTAAAAGCATAAAATAAATAATTGCAATCTCAAAAATATTTTAACTTTTCTATAAGCACATATATCATTCTATTGAAAGCAATCATACTCGAAGCATTATCAAGTATTAAATATAAAAATATCTCTCAACAAAAATTCATACCTTGATTTGTAAATGTCATATTATAAGAAATTAGCTCTTTTAATTAAACTCAACTCTTATTAATGAAAAATATTATAATTTAATGGGTGGGTTTTTTGTATTCTTGTATGGCATTATAAATTCTGGAGGAGTCAAAGTCCTCAACAAAGCCAAAGATTTTACATAACACAGATAAACAAGTACCATCATTGTCCTTCCGTTATGTGAGAACATCAATAAAACGAGAAATTTCTGTGTACACCCTAAACCAGCTGCCTAGATTTGGAAGAAGCCAGAAAAAACTCGTCAATATAATTGCATCAATGGATCGCACCACCTAACAAGCCTGCTTTGAAATTCTTTACGTGGACATTTGATCTTACCCAGTAAAAAGATGGAACGTTTGCCATAATGCACTTTCCTTCCTCACTTGCCACAAGACAAGTACCTAATAGTAATAATGATATTACCTCCAATCGTCTATATAAGAGTTGGTTAGAATTGAATTTATTCATAAATATAAAATTTGAACCCACTTTGCTTCTCAAATATATATAATCCATTCTTCAAAATATCTCTACTGACTACATGTATTAAGAGGGTTTCCATTTACTAATAATCATTATTAAACATGATATTTTAAAAAAATCAACTCATTTTTTAAACAACTAACTTAACTTATTTTTTAAAATTTTTTAAAATTAAATAACTCGTATACTAAAGACAGAAAGGATAACTGCTTTTAATCTGAGCATGAGTGCTTGAACATATCAGCAGTCAGTGGTATTATTATTTTATTTTTTTTGGACTGACAGTGGTATTATAATTTCAAGTCTGAAACTGCTCTGAATAGCATAAACCCTAGTAGTGAATAAGGAAATTCAACACAATTGTGAATTTGTAATTACCATATAAATCAGGTCCACGCAATCCCACAGTAACAGCAGTCTCCCACCCCATTACAACTTCAGAAGGGAAAACCCGTATTCTTCCAGTACACCATAAACACTCAAAAATGGTAGAGGAAAAAAAGTACAGACGAATCAAACCTGAAGAACCATCTAGTTATTTAAACATATGCAACAGAGTCAAACCACAAAATACCGGATAGAGCAATAAGAGGACTGATGACACTAATCCAAAATTATTTTTAAAAAATATATAATTTTTAATTTATTTTAGTTGGAAAAAAAAAAAAAAACTTGCTTCCAATAACCTAAACGAAGTTCACACCTCCACCTATGATAACGGTTCCCATCAGCAAAACCTGAAGAATCAAAGCATTCTGTACCATAAATTCATATACTGTTGCGTAATACAAACCGATAAATGGGATGGTTCAACTTGCTGAATTTCAGGAACAGAAAATAGTCACGAGATTCACTACTTCCGCAAGTGCACAGGCAGTACAAGAAACAGAAAAAAGGTTTTAAAAAAAAAACCCATTGCCTCGTGCAAAAACTTGTATTTACAAATATTTGAATTGGCTTTTGCCAACAAAAATGATTGCTATCCCAATTAACTAAGAGGGTGACAATAAACACCCACTAATCTACCAAAAAAGGGGAATTGTGTTTCTCTACAGAATGGCCAAGAGAGACGACCCTGTACACACCTCTGTATTCGTGTCCCTTCCAGAAAAAAAAAGGGGGGGGTTTAAAAAGTGATAATGTGCAAGATCTGGATGACACAAATAAAAATAACCAATAGTGCCAGCCAATTAATTTTTTAACAGGACCAGCAGAAACCAATGCATCTGTTTCCATATTCACCAGCTTCATCTGCACAAAACCCCCATAAAATAGATCACGTCATTTTTTCCTGCCATATATAAACCCAGCAAAAGAGCAATCTAAAGGCCAAATGAACATGCACACAACAGATCAGATCAACTTTCATTAAATACCTTGCAACTTGGTAAATACTTTAAGGTTTGAATGTGTGCGTGGGTGTCACTGTATTATACATGAGAGAATTAATAGGGTATCAAAATGCATGTGAATGTCAACTGAGGAAAATTACAACATACATCCACGCGTTATCTGTGTACCAGCACAAAATTGAGAGGAAAACTCAGATGATGTCATATAATATCAGTTACTACTCCCATACAGTGTCATCTAATTTGCATGACTGTTTCTTTAGATTCAAATTACGAAAGAACATGTCAGCAAGCATTTGGCAGGAGGAAAAGCTCAAGATAAAAGTTGATGCAGAAAGATTTCCCGTTGTAAACTGAGAACGATAACCTAAACCAGCTGGACTTGGTTCTGCTGCGATTGATATTGTTATGCTTAAAATAGAAGGATAATGCCTAAGAATCAGCTACTAAACATATCAGCTCAGAGGAAAATTTGAAGTAAAAAGGTATGACGACGTTACAGGTCTAACTGGAGTAAAGCTGCAGATTCTCATCAAAATAAGACCTCAATGATGCAACAAATTTAATAACAATAGCCACCATCGTCGCCATGTGGACAAAGTGGTCATATTCTAGTTACGGATATGACCATTGAGGATAAACCTTTATCTACACCAGCATTTGTTGATTGTAAGCCCGTTGCATATGGTGCTGTACATGTCTCTAATTATTGTAGTCTAATGTCTCGTATCAGGTCTCTGTAAATACAAGGATTTATGTAGGTGAGAAGTTGCAGACTACATTTCCCACAAAAGCACCAAACTTAATCAGCAGTAGTTCAGAAAAATCATCCGATGTCTATGGATAATAATACTCTCAACTACGACCAGCTCAAAAGTCACATCCCCCACCAAAAAAACAAAATCTATAAAAACAACAGGTCGCTTATGCTTCAATGCTCACTATATTTGTGAATATAAGTGAAGGCAAAATAAGCTATATATATATATATATATATCTAAATACCTGTAAATTGCTGCCAAAAGGGCATAAAAAATTCCAATCCTGACAAAGGCCACCGCTCTCAGGGTAGCTGCTCTATCCATTTGGTTGTATCATTCCCCTTTGAATTCAGGACAGACAAACAAAACTTGCTCTGCCCTGGCTGCGGATGCTGCAATTATTACTGAGGCTGACGTTGCAAAGTCACATGTTTATGTGAATGTTGATCTTGGCCCTGTTGATGCTGTTCGTGGGGCTGATGTACCTGTTGGGATGGAATAGGTTGCGATGAAGATTGTTGAATAGGCAGTGGCTGTTGCTGCCACTGTGCAGCTGAATTATGTACATGAGGCATGACAAATGACAACTGTCTAGGGCCTTGCCCTTGATTAATAGTAGGTTGTGGCTCATTCCCAGCTGAATTTCTAACAGGTACTTTCTCGAAGGAGCCCACTCGATTGGCAGGAGTTGGAACATGGGAATCAAATGGTGGTTCTGTTCTCCACTGAGCAGAGGAATCAATACACATGAGTCACAGCAGTGCCTGTACTAATCTGAGAAGCATTATTTTCAGGGGTGATCAGCTTGAGTTAAGTCAGATTGAGGCTCGCTTGATGACTCAGAACGCACCCGAAAGTTCTGTCGCAACATTCTGTGAACATTTGACTGAGTTTGATTCATTTTCTTAGATTGTAGCTGAGATTGTTGCTGTAGCTGGGGATTGTTGGAAGAAATAACAGCTGATGAAACTGCTGTCTGAGGAGGTGACAATACATGACCTGATGGAACTGTTGGAGCCTGTCCCTGAGTACTATTATCAGAAGGTGATACCACTGACTGAAGTTGTTTTGATGAGGTGGTTATTGGCCCCGAATTTAAGTTGTGTTGCAACTGGGAATGATTTGAAGGATGAGCAGGACCCAACGGCTTTGATGGTTGAGTAGGATTTAAATTAGAAGCAGGATGTAAGTTTTGATCTCGCATCATGTGTGAAATTTTTATCCCCTTTGTCAGCAGTTTGACTTGCTGGAGGTACTGATAATGTATGGAGATGAGAAGAATCTATAGGGATATTCTGTTGGACTGAGATGCTTCCTCTTCCCATTCCCTTCACAAGTTTAGCCTGCTGATGAGACAGTGGATGCTGCCGTTGATTAGGATGCTGCCTACCTGATTGTTGATGCTGTTGCAGCTGCTGCTGAGGCTGTCGCTGCCTTTGGTTCACTGCTTGATTGTTCAACCCA